CCATCTCTCCTTTTATCAAACACTTCCTTTTTTTCCCCCACCCCTCGAAGGGACCCTCTTTTGCAAAAAAAAAAAAAAATTCTTCTTTTGCAAAAAGATCTTTGGGTGGTCCTTAAGTCAGGACAGGAGTGTTGCATTGGCCCAGCCAGAGAGCAGATTTTTTTTTTTTATGTCAATGAAGTCCTCTAAGAAAACAATAATAATAATAATAATAATAATAATAATAATAAAAAAACACTGAGACTTTCTGGGGACGGTTTTGGAGAAAACCCCGGGGCGTTTCCCCACGGGCCGGCCCACACTCCGCACGTAACAGGGGCCGTTCTGCACGGAAGAGGGCCCCGGCCCTGGGCTGGGAGGTCCAGCCCTGCACCCTCCTCCTTGCGTGGGAGTTTTCTACCTTCCAGAATCAGAGCAGGGGCCGGGGCCATCTACCGCCAGGGCTCTCTGCCGGGGTGTAACTCTCTGCGTACATTTAGCGTGACCCCGAGGGACATCATCGCGTGAATCTCATCACGAGACAATATACTTTTTATTTGTTTGAATTTTATTTGTATTGGTGAAACTGACCTGGAACTGACACAAGTTTATTAGAAAAAGGGACTCAGTAAAAGCGGGAGGGCCGGTCTTCTTATTTAAGATGGATGTGCCCACTTCTAGTGTGATTAGAGAAATGGGTAACTCACTAACATCTGTGCAAACTACAATAAAAAGGGATTTAGTGTTACCCCAAGGAAGGCGGGAGAGGCTGTCTGTCCATTAAACGCTTTATTACAGCGCCAGCAGCTCCTTCCTAATTCGGTTACTCCTGCGCGCTGCGCTCAGCACTCCCGGCTGCCTGTCAGCCCACCAGACAGCGCTCGGGGCTGGGGGTGGGTTTTGTGCGAGGTAGGTGACAATCAAATGAGCCACCGAGAAGAGAGGGGCGCCTGACCCTCCTGAAGGATTAACGACGGGAAGTGAGTGCGATCATGTCACTCCATTACTTAGAATTTCCACAGTCAATTTCTGAGAATATGAGATAAGTTCTTAAAGAGGCAGTCGTCCCCGAGTTTGGCGCAGGGCGGCGGGGAGACACCAGGCGGCGGGGAGACACCGGGCGGCGGAGAGACACCGGGCAGGGAGAGAGGGAGGGAGGCGGGGGGGGGGGTCTTCCGGGGAAGAGGGGGTGTCCCGCGTGCGTCCCGTCATGCTTAGCCCACGCGGGTGCCTGGAGCCAGTCGCTTCCGGGAGTGATGTGACCAAGCAGGAAGGAGATGGAGGAAGACTGGTGGGGCCAACATGCCCTTTCTCCCTCCTCCCCCGGGCGCCGGGGTCCCGGCCTCTCTTGGGGGAAACTGGGCTGGAAAAGGTCATGACCCTCTGAGGACCGCATCACGCTCCAGGGTCACGGGAAGCCTGGCGAGGTTGGCTGAGATGCTGGAGCCCACTTAGCGCCGGGATGAAATGTCCCCTCCCCCCTTCCCTTCCCCTCCTCCACCCCTGCAGCCACCACTCCCCGCCCGACATCATCACGGGTGTCCCCAGAAGTCCTTCTGCCCCGAGTGGCGGGCCACAAGGAGACCCGGCCCCACGGCACCTCACAGTCCGGCCGCTGAGCAGGCCGCACGCTTTAAAAACGTGCTGCCGTGTCTCCCCCGAAAATAAGACAGGGTCTTCTATTTGCTTTTCCTCAAGAAGAAGACGCCCTAGGGCTTATTTTCGGGGCATGTGTTGTTTTCCCCCCTCAAAGCCTCAGCTCGCGGCACGCACAGGGTGGCCGGGACCCGACAGGGGGAGCCGACCTTGCTGGTGGGGCTGCCCGCACCTTTCCAGTCACCTCTGGGACGGAAGCTGTCACGACGGGGCAGGTGAGAAGGGCTGCTCGTCTTCTTTCCCGCTCCGCGACGACACGCACGGGTTGTGCAGACGCGCTGCGCAGCCACGCCCGTCGCCAGGGCTCGTTTTCAGGGGATGTGTTACTTTTTTTTTAAGTACTGCACAACCATCTACATGTATTCAAATACAGTGAACCCTTTGCACTCGCTTGCTTTTTTCTCGATTCCTTTATTCTACTCGGGATTTAATTTTTTAAATGCCCCAGATTGTACAAAGTGCGGCAGTAGAATAAAAAACTGGAGTTTCTTTTTATACAAACTTATTTATTTGGATTTATTTTTTTATATTTCAAATTATTGATACATTCAAAGAGTCATTTTAATCTCTATAATTTTTGCTAACCGTGTCGAGTCACACTGGGCATCCGAATGCAAAGGGTTAAGTGGTCTTCTCCTGGAACATCATCCTCACTCTCCAAACCCCGAATCCCATCCTGAGTGTCTTGCGACTCTGTTTCCTTTAGAGCCGTCGGCCCCGATCTCTCCTGTGGAGCCACAGAGCTGTCACGGGGCGGATGAGAAGGGCTGCTCGTCTTCTCTCCCGCCCCGCGACGACACGCACGGGTCGTGCAGACGCGCTGCGCAGCCACGCCCATCGCTAGGGCTTATTTTCGGGGTGGGGTTTCTATGGCGCACATGCTTAGAAATCCTGCCAGGGCTTGTTCTATGGGTGGATCTTATTTTCGGGGAGACACGGCACATACTTGGCACAAATAAACCTAAAATATAAGTTTCAAAGTCTGGCAAAGGTAGGTGGCGGTTCAAGGAAGCAAGACGCATTTCAGGGCCAGAGATGAGTCCATTCCTCATTTGTAGATGAGAGATCTGCAACAGGGAGAGAGGAAGTCCCCGCCCAGAGCGCGCACTGTCTTCCGGAAGTGGGACCAGGGCCACCCACGCATGCCCCCGGCTCTCAGACACACGGGAGTCATGCTTACGGGGACTCTGCGAGCACAGTAGGGACTTTCTGAGAAGCCTGGACTGGACGTGCCATTTCTTCCCTCGCCTCTCTGTATTTAAATGAGAAGAGTAAACCGCAAACCTCTGAGCTCGGTTCTGCTAAAGCAATTTAGCATCTGCCTCCACCTGAATCTAATTGAAACAATTCATTATCAAATTTACTGATCTGCTTAATGATTTTTGTATTTCTCTCTCTCTCCCTCTCTCTCTCTCTCAAAGTCGCCTTCCAACCCCCAGCCAGCCCGGGTAAATTACTCTTCCCTTCACATGGGAGGGAACGCAAGGAGCTGGGAGGGCGGCTAATTCAAAGTCGCTTTAAAGATGGTACAACGGTGGCGTGTTCAGGTTCAGGGTGGGGGATCGATGTCCATTGACGTCACCAGACAAGTCCCCGGCAAGACTTGAACACAGGCTGCCAGGATCTGTCCCGGGGCTGAGTCCCAAAGTGGATGCCACGGGTTTGCCTCTGCATCCGGGAGCAATTTGCAAAGCAGGGAGGGATATAAGAAGGAAGGGGGAAAAGGGGAGAAGCAGGTTCTCTTTCCAGAGCTGTGCACGCTTTATGTTTGCTCAGTGGCAGTCTGTTTTGGAAATACTTCATTGTCGCTGAGCACAGTCATTAGAGGCACTTCGGAAATCTGGACCTTTCTACTAGAATCGGGGCTTAAACAGCAACTTAATTTACGACACTTTGCGAGGGCGGGTGGCATTTTTTGCCCTAAGGTAAGGTCATTCTGGTATCTGCCCCTCCCCTCGCTTCCCTTCCTGTCTCCCCTCTACCCTGTGTTTCCCCAAAAATAAGACCTACCCATAGAATAAGCCCGGGCAGGATGTCTAAGCATTTGCACCATAGAAGCCCCACCCCGAAAATAAGCCCTAGCGACGGGCGTGGCTGCGCAGCGCGTCTGCACAACCCGTGCGTGTCGTCATGGCGGAGCGGGAAAGAAGACGAGCAGCCCTACTCATCCGCCCCGCAGTGACAGCTGCTGTCCCAGAGGTGACCGGAAAGGTGCGGGCAGCCCCACCCACAAGGTCGGATCCCCCTGGCGGGTCCCGGCCACCCTGTGCGTGCTGCGAGCTGAGGCTTTGAGGGGAAAATAACACATACCCCGAGAATAAGCCCTAGCGTGTCATCCTGAGGAAAAATGAATATAAGACCCTGTCTTATTTTCAGGGAAACTCGGTACTTCCGAGTCCCTGATTACTCAACTCCTGAAATGTAAGCCACGTGTGTGCGTAGGCACGCTGGAGTCCACCGCAGCGTGTTTCCAAAAGGGGGCTCCTTTGTATCCACAGGGGACAGGGAAGGGTGCAAAGGGGAGGGGGTTTACCCCCAGACAGGCACAGGAATAATCAGACCAGAGATAGGTGGCTCCTTCTCTCGGCGTTAAAACGGCGAGGGGGAAAAAGTGCTCGCACGTAATTGGTGTAATTGATGCTGTGCTTTTTTTTGTTGTTTGTTTTTTTCTTCTCTCCCCTTTTTGCTGCAGCCATTTTTTCTATGCATGCCATTGTGGCCGCCGTGATCACCCAGGATGTGATATTGGGCGGCGGATACTGCAGACCGGGTAGGAACCCGCGCGCACGCGCCCGCCAGCCGCGCAGATCTATAGCGTCTATTTCTGCCTCGCCAGGTGCCGTCTCGGGGGAAATATCCTCTTTCTTGGCAGGCGCGCTGAGAGCTGCATTATCTGTCATTTTCATTAGATCCGAGCTACAGCTGAGCCAAAAAGACTTAGTTCTAGCATATGTGCTCGAAAGGGCCGGGCTGCGATTGTCCAAATTCACCCTTTCGGGATCAAATCACCCGACCACTGGAGCTGGAGCTAGAAACTGGAGGGAGCAGAGCGCCCGGATCCCGTCTGGAGAACGGCAAAGGGCGCCGTACGCTCCGAAGATTGGAGCTCAGGGTCATGATCTTCTCCAGGGAGCCGGGGGAAACACCGGCAAGCTCAGCCTTTCCCAGCATCCTCTTAAAGCAGGGGTGGAAGGCCTGCTCCGCCCAGATTCTGACACTGAGCAAAGAAAACCCAGTTTCTTCCACGCCCGCCCCTCGTGTTGCCCTCTCCATGTGTCCTGGCCTTCAGGGACGCCGTGAGTAAGACTCTGCTGACCTTGTCCCGGCTTCGCTGACTTTGATCGCCGTAGAACTCGGTACGTCGCCGGGCGGTCCGGGTGTCCCGACAGCCAGAGAACCCCTAGGGAGGACATAATCCAACTGCAGTCAAGCCGAGTCTCCGCACAAGACCCCACCTTTTCTGTAAATCCGATGCTCCACTTGAACATGGGCAGGAGACACATTGCAAAATTCGACACTAAAGGAACATAGAAAAATTCCTGGTCCAGGGTGCAGGCAATAAGAAAGTCGCAGGGGCCGGGAGGATGGTTATTCTACTGGGGGGGAGGGGGGGGGCTTTGGTATGATTTCAAGCAGACAATGATCGAAAAAAAAATAAATAAATAAAGGAGGTCCAGTAGAGAATTGAGTCTCTTAAAAAAGCAAAAGGCCAGTGTGGGAATGTAGGATCGTGTAGCCACGGTGGAAACGGTATGGCGGTTCCTCAAAATACTAAACCTGGAATGAACCGTGCGGTCTAGTAGCTCCACCGTCGGGGCCACGCCCCAAAGAACTGGAGGCAGAGCCTCGAAGAGCTGTGAATAGTTGCACCCCTGTGTTTAGAGCAATGTGATTCGCGATGACCGAAGGTGGAAGCTGCTCGAGAGTTCGTCCATGGATGGGTAGGTGAGCAGGATGCGGCAGAGGCAAAACAGGGTAGTGGTCCTGCAGAGAGAGGTGGAGGGGAGGGGAGATGCAGGGGTTCGTGTCATGGGTACGGGTTGCAGCTGTGGAAGACGAAACAGTTGCAGAGGTGGATGGTGGCGATCGTCCAGTGACATCGCGAATGCGCTCAGTACCACTCAGCTGTATACTTAAGGATGGTCACAATGGCAAATTTTATGTTATGCATATTTTGCTACAATGAGAAAAAACAAAACAAAACATGGGTTTGCGTGTGTTCATGGACACACAGGGTCAGTGAATCTGTGCCCCCTTAACACCAGGAATGTCACCTTCTTCCACACCGTCACTGGGGGGGGGGGGCACCTCTGGGCCGGGCCTCCTTTGAGTGACATGAAGGATTCCGGAAGGTGCGTCCAGGACTAGGTTAGGAGGATGCACACGCCGCCCCGTGATTGTCTTCTCGCCAGAGTGGGAGGTTCGAACATCAGCATGGCGGAGAATTTCCACGGGGAGAAATCTATTGGTGGAAAAAGAAAAAATCGTCTGAACGATAAGAAGTCTCGGCGTATCACCCCCCGGGCCAGCGGGTGGCCATTTCTCACCTGCGCCGCTAACGTGCCTCAGTGGAGTGGCAAGAAAGCAGGCAAGGTGTGCGGGCAGCAGGGATGTCTCGGAGGCCGCGGAGCACGCTTTGGGGCCGGGAGTAGCAAGGCTGGCAAGAAGGTCGTCATTGCAGAGTGGGGGGCGGGGGGAATGGGGCGGACGTTGCATTGGTCAGCTAAGGTTCCCGTGACAAATACCACGGACTACCACGGGGCTTACGGAACAGAGGTTTGTTCGCTCACAGTTCGGGAGGCTGGAATTCCAGGATTGGAATACCGGCACTGGCAGGTTCCGGGGTGGCCTCCCTTCCTGGCTGGCAGACGACGGCCACCTCCTTGCTGCGCCCTCACATGGGGTGGGGGCAGAGAGAAAGCTCGGGTATCTCTTCTCTTCTTACAAGGGCGCTAATCCCATTAGATGGTTAGACTCCGTCTAACCCTAATTACCACCCGAAGGTGTCATCTTCTTGACACCATCACACTGGGGGGTAGGGCTTCGATGCATGACTGGCCCACAACAAATGTGACTTTTGTCTCTGCCCAACCATTCTTCCTGCAGCTGCAGAGAGAACCCCACGCCGGCTCTGCTCCCGGGCTCTGCTCCCACTTGCTGGGTCTCCCTGGGCTCCGTATTTCCCTCACGCCCCTCCAAGTCCAGCTACGCCCCGGAGACCGGTTTATAAAGAATGGGGAATTAAGAGTAACCTGCAAATTACGCAATATTTTTTTTAAAAAAAAAGATGCTTCCCCCACAGGATCCCCGTTGCCCATTAATTGCAACACATTTTGAAACAAAGTAAATATTTTTTTGTTGTTGTTATTAAAAGAAATTCATTCTTGCCTTTTCTTTCAATCACCGCCGGGCGTTAACGGAAGGGAAGTAAGGCGATACGAAAACGTTTGAGCGAGAGGCTGCGCAAACAAACTTTCCCACTGTATTTTCGGCACGTGAGGCTGAAGTCATTGAATATGCAAATTGCCTTATTAAAAGAAGAATGATGTCTTTTTCAGCAATCAGTTTAATTACAGTGGAACCCTTCAATAGAGAAATCAACTTGTTTTTGCAGAGGAGGGATTCTCTTAGAAAGGGAATTTAGGTGTAACAGAATAAAAATTGGAAAATTCACACTCGGTAGGAAGAACGGCCTGGGAGGTACAGGGGAGAAGGAAGTGAGAAAGTCGGTGGCCTCATCGGTGTCTGTCTGAGCCTCAGTTTACCCACCTGCCATGTTCCAGCTCTAAAGGTTGGAGCAAGATAAAGGTGTAATGGCAGTGGAAGGTGTTTATGCAACTTATGCGGGAGGACCAATGACTACGGCCGCACATTCGCTTAACTTGGCCACAGTGGCAGCTGGTGAAGACCTCTGGGCCCCATTCGGGTCTGTCCTGGGGAGAACAGGTCCCCAGGTAAACCGAGTTCACGTCCCATGGGAGCCCTGGAAGGAGGGTGGGGACAGACCCAGGTTTAGGGCGGAGGTTTGAAGCCGGACTTTTGAGTTCGGCCTCAGCTACACAGAATATCAACGTAGCACTTAGCGGCCGCAAGTAAGTCGTTTAGCATCATAAAGCCCTCACCTTCCGCTTCTGCCACATGGAGGAGATAGCATCTGATCCTCATAGGATGGTTTTGAAATGTATAGAAAAAAAGACAGGCCGGGCGCGGTGGCTCACGCCTGTCATCCTAGCACTCTGGGAGGCCGAGGCGGGAGGATAGTTTGAGTTCAAGAGCAGCCTGAGCAAGAGCGAGACCCCGTCTCTACTAGAAATAGAATGAAATTAATTGGCCAACTAATATATATATAGAGAAAAAATTAGCCGGGCATGGTGGCGCATGCCTGTAGTCCCCGCTACTCGGGAGGCTGAGGCAGGAGGATCGCTGGAGCCCAGGAGTCTGAGGTTGCTGTGAGCGAGGCTGACGCCGCGGCACTCACTCTAGCCTGGACGAGAAAGCGAGACTCTGTCTCAAAAAAAAAAAAAAAGACAGCAAACATTTGGTGTAATACTCGGCACACACCCAAGCTCGCCTAACAGCCTCAGGTTGGTGCAAAAGTGAGCGTGGTTTCGGATCCTGAATTTTAAATCATCATAACTAGTCTCCCAAGCTCCTCTTCATCAATCAAAACAGGAGCCGTTAACAGTCAACGCGGTTTTGCCAACGAGAAGCACGTCTGCTTATTCCTGTAGCGTGAAAATCCGTGCCTGGTTGGGGAAGTGTTTTCCCTGCAGAGAGCCGCCGCCCAGATGCTGGAAGAAGTGGCAGTCGGGGTCGGTCTGCGCAGAGAGGCCGGGTGAACACAGCGGACCAGGCAGGACGCCGCAGCCCGGGTGGTTCGTTCCACTTTGGAAGTGTTGGTCCCCGGGCGGCCTGTAGTTGGGTGTTGCAGTGGAGGAGAACGGGGGCCCTCTCTGCGGACGGGCGCCGGCGGCGGGCGTCGCGGTTTTCGGTGCATCTCACCCGTTTGCTGAGCGTGCTTCTCAGATGCCCCGGTCGTGCCGGGACAAAGGGGCCCCGCGGGGACGGTCCAGGTCGTCACCACCCCGGAGCCGGGCAGGCGCGAGGTCAGCTTCCCGCACAGGCAGCCAGCCCCGGGCCTGGAACCCTCACGTCTGCCTCTCCCGTTGGCACGGATGGTTTTGTATTTTGTTCATCATTTTTATTTATTTATTTAAAAAGAAGGAAGGAAGGAAGGAAGGAAGGAAGGAAGGAAGGAAGGAAGGAAGGAAGGAAGGAAGGAAGGAAGGAGTGAGCTGTCTCCAAGTGTTAAATGTTCTGTACATAAATACTAACCGAAACTGTGAAGAAAAAATGCCCCTGCCTGTGACTTACACTAAAATCATCTCTCCTGAGTTGTCGCTTTTTTTGTTTGTTTGCTTGTTTGTGTTTTAACAAAATAAAACAAAACAAATTTTAGATGAAATGATTGGTTTGGGACAATCTTCCTCCGGGGGTGGGGGACTCTCTCCGTGGACAGGTTGTGGGGTCAGCGTTAGACTGGAGTCACGGAGACTGGGGCATGTGGGGTCTTTGGGAAAAGGGGGCACAGCCCGGGGAGGAGAGGGAGGCTCCCACTCGGGTTCCGGGTGTGCAGGGAGGGGCAGGAGGGCACAGAGCTCAGGACCTTGGATGTCACGGCCATGTGACATCTGCTCTTGCCCCTTCCGGGTGGAGGTGGCCGGGAGCAGCAGGCGGGCAGTGGTTAGTGTCCTCCTTCCCGTCCCCGGGCGCTGCAGGGCCAGGCCTCTGTCTTTACCCGGCCCTGCGTCCACGCCCAGCTCTCGGGGAGGCCCCGCCCTGGGAATGAGGAATCCGCAGACACAGCCCTGCTCCCGGGAGCCCGGGATCATCTCTCCTCTGCAAGACGAGAGCAGTCCCTCCCAGGAACAAGGAAGGACAACCCCATGAGGGCTGTGATGTGGGCCTCCAGGGAGACTTCCTGCCCTGGCGGGGGGAGAGGGAAGCTTCCCGCGTCCGTTGGGGTCATTTCTCGCAGGTGGCAGGCAGAGGGGTCTCTCCAGGCAGGCGACACAGGCTGAGGCAAGTCCCCGAGGTGTGAGTGACCCAGCCCCGGGAATAGCTGGGAAGGAGAGGGAGGCCTGAACGGACCTGCCCCACCAGAAATGTTCTAGATCCTTCCAGAACTTAGGAGGTGCGGGGCTTGGCAGGGGAGGGTGGGTGGACCCGTCTCTCAGAGCTCACCATCCACCGCACGATGGCCTGAAGGCCGGGGAGGAGCAAGGACTAGAATCTAGAGAGCTGCCACACGGGGGCAGGCCCTCTGATGAGAGCTTGTTGCCTTCAGCAGAAGATTACAGCCACTGTTAACCTGTGGGATGAAAGGGAGAGAGCTAGGAGAATACATACCCTGACTGCCTTCTCACCTCCTTCTCTCCTGGGGCTACCCATTGGCCACGCCCCACTAGAAGTCAGAAAGCAAGCTGTCTGTGGATCAAGTCCATGCCTATCAGCTTCCTGGGGTACAGGGCAGGGTGGAGAAGGATGGAGGGTAGATCTGGAGGGCAAAGAATCCAGCCTGGTGATGAAGACCACGATGATGGTGGTGGTGGTGGCATTGATGGTGATGATGGTGATGGTGGTGGTGGTGATGATGGTGGTGATGATAATGGTGATGATGGTGGTGATGATAATGGTGATGATGGTGGTGGTGATGACAGTGATGGTGGTGGTGGTGATGATAGTGATGGTGGTGGTGGTGGTGATGATGGTGGTGGTGATGATGATGGTGATGATAGTGGTGGTGATGATGATGGTGGTAGTGGTTATGGTGATGACAGTGGTGGTGATGATGATGGTGATGGTGATGGTGGTGATGATGATGGTGGTGGTGATGATGGTGATGGTGATGGTGGTGATGATGATGGTGGTGGTGATGGTGATGATGGTGGTGATGATGATGATGATGGTGGTGATGGTGATGATGATGGTGGTGGTGATGATGGTGATGGTGATGGTGGTGATGATGATGGTGGTGGTGGTGATGGTGGTGATGATGGTGATGGTGATGGTGATGGTGGTGATGGTGGTGATGGTGGTGATGATGGTGGTGATGGTGGATAAACTGCCAGAACGGGGCTGTGCTCCCTTGGACCTCCCCCAAAACACAGGCTTTGGCAAAGCTCCTGGTCCTAGCGATTTGTTTTGTAATTATGGGTGAGTTCGTTTGTCTTCCTCAGCTCCGTGAGCTCCTCCAGGTAAGTCTGACATCTGATCATCGCTGTGACCCAGAGCTTGGCAGTGCCCAGCAGAGAACCTGCCACTAAGGAATTGCTAAGCCGGTGACGATGAGTGAATGAATGAATGAATGAATGAATGAATGAATGAAGAGACACTCCATGACTTCTGGTCTTAGATGGCAAGGTCCAGCCCTACGCCTGCTCCGTGTGGACCCTGGCACGTCACAGGCACCCAGCAAATACTGGAGGAGAGCCAGCACGGTGGCGCGATGACACTTCTGTTTTCTCTGGAGCACAT